GGTAAAAGAAGGTCAGAGAGATTGGAAACAGTGGCGTATGGCCAGAAGTAAAGCAAACTGTGACAACGTCCATTTAGAGGAGTCATTTGCTACGGTTGGAAATGGAACAGTGTGAGCAACGGAACCAAACTGCCCCTGGGCGCGCTCACCTTCTGCAGGCACTCCAGCACCTTGGCCATGTAGGCTTCCTGGCAGGCATAGGGCTGGAAGGGGAACTCCACCGTGATGCCGTTCACCGTTATCCTGGGCATGCTGCACTGGGAGCACCTGCAAGGCAGCGGGACCCGGGGAGCGGGTGGGGTTCAACGTGCACGACGGAACACCCAAAGACCCCGTTTTCACCTCGTGCTTCGGGACGGTACCGGCGGACCCGGGCTGGGGGCTCACAGCACCCGGGGCCCGGCACCGAGGGCCCCGGCCCGCCCGCCCCGTCGGACACAACCGGCGCTCACCTCCCGCTCCGCCGCGCGCAACGCAATCCTCCCGCCAAGGTCACGTGGCCTGCTTCGCGCTTACGCGAGAACTTATCCGCCGCCGGCCGCTCTCGCGAGAGCTGCGGCGTTGCCATGGGGACGGGAGTGGGGCGGCGGGGCCGAGCATGGCGGCGGGGTAATGGGGGCTTGGAGTTGCTGCTGTGGAGGCCCGAGAGGCACCGGGCAGGAGGGGAGCGAGGCCGGAGGGGTCCGCAGGGGCAGAAGGTTGGCGTTTTGGTTGCTAAAAGCAGCAAAGCGGCTGCAAGGATGCTGGAGAGGGGCGCTTCATCAGGGAGTGGGGCGATAGGACCAGGGGTGATGGGTTCAAACTGAAACGGGAGATTTAGGTTGGATCTGTGGCAGAAGCTCTTCCCTGTGAGGGTGCTGAGGCGCTGGCACAGGGTGCCCAGAGAAGCTGTGGCTGCCCCATCCCTGGCAGTGTTCAAGGCCAGGTTGGACACAGGGGCTTGGAGCAAGCTGCTCCAGTGGAAGGGGTCCCTGCCCGTGGCAGGGGTTGGAGCTGGAGGAGCTTTAAGGTCCCTTCAGCTGAGACAAGGAGGCACAAAAGTACAAAATGCAATCAGTTCTAAGTACTGTTAAGTTTGATGGCTTTGTAATGGAAAATAACTGCGGTGCTTGGAGGTAGTTGACACAGTTTCAGGCCCTCAGGGCCTCAGTACAAAAGGTGTGAGAAAAGCAGACTAGAAGGACAGGACCTGGGGATGGGGAGTATCCCAGACTAGCAGATGTCCAGAATGGGAGCAGTTAAACTAACTGGTAAGTAGAGGCCAGGATGATTGCTACGTCTGTAATGTTAATTAAGCTTGTTGGGAAAAGTAAACGACCCTTAAAGACCACCACATTTTGTATGCATGCAGGAAACCTTTTGGAAAATGATGTAATATGCTCAGTGACCACATGAGGATGACCTGTATAGCAATCCGGGGACACACGTTAGGAGGAGCTATCCCCCGTGTCTCCCGGCACCGCAATAAAGAATACCTGCTTGTCAACTCGAAACTCTGTTGGCGAGTTTGTTCCTGGAGTTTTCTCCGAATCACAACCTAAGCCGTTCACTAAGTGTGAGTCTATGATCACATCTCATTCTCCTGCCCTTTTCACAGGTGAAGGTGGCAAACCATGGCATGAAGGGGGTGCAGTACAAACCCCATCCCATTCCCCAGCTGAGTGCCCTGTGTCAGGGTGTGATTTCTCTGTAGGTGCTTCTCCTTCTCTTCCATGACTGGAAAGGTTAAACCCAAGGAAAAAGCTGAACTCTTTTAGTTATTTGGAACTGGCTGCAGCTTTCCCCTTTTTTGTGCCATTCCTCTTGGAGCCGGATGAGCTTTAAGCTCCATTCCAACCTTAACCATTCCATGATTCCTAAAGCCTCTCTGCCCTGTTTGGTCCCCCTGGAGCATCTCCCTTCATAACAGCTCAGGTGAGATGAGTGACCAGCAGTGCCCTGACCAGGATTTGCCTCCAGGTTACTGCTGTGCTTTGTGCTGCGGGTTGCTGCCCTTCAGCACTGCAGCCTAAGGAGGAGGCAAAGCACTGCAGCGTCCATTGTTGAAGCTCAGCTTGGAAGGTACAAGGGTTTCTGTGTCGTTATGTTGAGCCTTGTAGCATCTGCATTCAGAACAATGCCTCTTGTTAGGGGTGAATGTGCTGCCTCTTTGTTCCCTGCTTTCCCTCAGTGTGATTCTTGCAGCTTTCAGCTCCCATGCGGTGTTGGCCTCACTTGCTGGTCCCCGATGTGTTTTGGTGGGCCCTGAGCTGCTCTGGACTGGTGAAAACACACAAGGATTTTAATAAATGGGTAGCCATTGGATCCCCCAAACCCCATCGTCTGCAGTTGAATGAGGAAGACACTAAGACAAAATACGTGCATCTCTATGTACTTTCTATGACTGCATCTCACGCCATTCAATGGTGACCGCATAGATGTAGACCAGGATGAGGCTTGTTTAATGCTAACTTGAAGATGCATTTATTCCCAGCGAGCTGCACAGCCTGTTTCTATGTAGGAGTGTTCTGATATTTAAAGAAAAATAACTATTGAAAGGAATATATGGCATCTGTTCTCAAACTTCTCGGACATTGCAGGTGTTGGGATAGGGGAGCTTACGGATGTCGCTGTTGGGTCACCAGCCTTTAAGCTCCTTGAGCTGAACTTGCCTGGATTGCAGACTGACTTTAACTGTAGCAGCTGGGCTTGAGAGCACCGAGTTATTCCTCTGGAGTTCCATGCAGAACGTGACAACTGATTTTGCTTCTGTTTCTGCCTGTGGGCTCTTTAACTTGACGCCAGTTGCGTGAGATGGAGCTGCAAAAGAAACGGCTTTGTAAAGGTTGCGAAGTGAGAGCGTGGGATGAGGTATTTATAGTGGAGGATAAAGGTTTAAAGCTCCTAAATACATGGACTACTCTGTCATTATTTCCTGTGAACGCCCCTTTCCTTCACTGAAGGATAACACCGTGGTGTGTCAGATCAGATTATTGCAACGTATTTCAGTGATGATTGAAGCAGTGTTAGCTCTGTGAGAGGCGAGCTGGAAGGTAACCAGACCCAAAGAGGCAGGGTGAGTCAGCAACGCACTGGTGTCCAGCAGCAAACGTGACTCAGCACCGGCTGAGTGCTCCTTACCCTCCGGGGGGGTTCTTCTCTGCACCACTTACCTTAGGTGACCAGGGCTGCAGCATCGGCGTTGGTGAGGCTTCGTCAGCACCATGTGCCAGTTCCTTCTGAGAACAGGGGAAACTGAATTTGTGAGATTAAAGAGAAATATCTATCTCTTATTAAGGTTGCAAAAGAATTGGGGAGGTTTACTGAAGATACAGCTTCTGTTTAGGTCGGCATACAGACCTGGTAAATAAAGGTGTTGGTCTTAGAGCTGGATTGTTGTTGTGGCATTTGTGTCCCTAGGATGAACCTTGAGTTATTTTAAGGATAGAGTTTGGAAAGGGAGGAAGAGAAGGAAGAGGAAGGGATCAAAAGAAAATTGTCAGAGCAGCACAGAGGATTAGAGCGCAAGAAGCACACTTGTAATTACCTTTTGGGGCTGCAACCACATCCAGCTCCAACCCCTGCCACGGGCAGGGACCCCTTCCACTGCAGCAGCTTGCTCCAAGCCCCTGTGTCCAACCTGCCCTTGAACACTGCCAGGGATGGGGCAGCCACAGCTTCTCTGGGCACCCTGTGCCAGCGCCTCAGCACCCTCACAGGGAAGAGCTTCTGCCTAAGAGCTCACCTTGGTCTCCCCTCTGGCAGGTTAAAGCCATTCCCCTTGGCCTGTCCTTTCAGGCCCTTGTCCAAAGCCCCTCTCCAGGTTTCTTGTAGCCCTTTCAGGTATAGTAAGGCTGCTCTAATGAGGAGGGTGGTCTTGAACCATACACACTTCAGCCTGCTGGCTTTAAGATAACCTTTCAAGCCTGAAAGATTCAACCCAAGGAGAAAGTAGAGGGTGTTGCAACTACAAAAGAAGCCTTGGACAGAACCGGGAGCGGTCAGGGGTAATAAAAAAGTTCCAGTTCCAAACATGCCCTGAAGATTTGTGGATAGTGTTAATATTAGTCTGAATCAGACCTACCTTCTATAACATTTTTTTTTCTTCATTTATATACACCATTATAGGAATAGGCCACATGGAGATTGGGGGAAAAATAAGGAAAAAGGGAAAATCTCTGTCTTTTTGACTGAATTTAGTAGTTGCTGCCAGGGCCAAGCCAGAGCACCAGCAGCTACTCACACAACCTCTAGTTCCCTGCAGCACTGGGATTGTTTGGGAGTGTCTGCATTGCAGCGTGCTGGGAGATTCAGGATGTTCCTGAGCAGAGGGGACATGCAGCAGCAGGATAACACCAGGGCCTGGGGGGGATTCCAGACCCTGAGCTGGGCTCAGTGCAGCCGTGTGGCATAGGGACTGCAAAGGGTCCCTTGGTCCCAAAGGTGTGTGTGATGCTCTGTAGGCACAGATGCACTGGCCCCTAGCAACAGCCACTAATGGAAATGGTAGGAATGATAGAAAACAGAATAGAGAAGGAAAAGAAAAGAGGTTCTGATGCCAGCAGACAGGGGGAAGAAACCCAGAGCAGCCCCACTGACATCAGAAGGCTCCATTCTGCTCTTCCTCCTCTACTTTTACAGCAGTTTCCACCCCAAAACTGTAGCCCTTTTTGTGCCCCAATGCAAAAACATAGATACCTAAAGATGTTGAGCCTGCCTGGGATCCTTCCTCCCCTTGCTGTCTGCCTAAAGCTGGTGCAAGGTTTGGGGTGTGTGTTTTTCACCTCAGCCTAAGCTAAGGCAGAGCCCAGCCCTTTCCCTGCAGGTGAGCACCGCCTTGGAGTGGATGGTTTAAAACAAACAAACAAAAAAAACCCTTATTTCTGCTTATTTCTGCTTTCAGCAAAGGAAAAAGCTCATTGAGAGCAGAGAAGAAAGGGAGGAAGAGGAGGAAAAAGCATCTTCCATCAACACTGGGCTGGGTGTGTCTCTGCCCCCCCCCTTGCTGGGTCTGGGTTTCTGGCAGGCATCTTTGCCTGGGAGGGATCTGCTGTCAGAGCCACCCAGGAAAGGAGGCCCGATCCACTCATTAATATTCCAAACTAGTGACCCTTCTCCTTCTTCCCAGCCCTTCCCTTTCTGTGGGCTCTCCCTGCCGCGGATGGCTGCAGCCCCCTCCAGCTGAGCCGATCCTCCCTCCCCGCAGCATTGCAGCACCTCCGCAGCTCCCTGCGCTCCTGCTCCTGCAGCACCCGCTCTGCTCCGCCGCAGCAGCATGGCCAGCACCGTCTCAGGTAGGACAGGCATCTTTTAGGGTGCTCAGCAGCGATGCTCTTCTAGAACCATCAAGGTTTTGAGAGGGTTTTAGCGTTTATTCTGTGGGTTTGGGGTGGTTTTTTCCCCTGTGTGTTTCAGGGGAGTTCTCTGAGGAGGAGGCAGCGGGTACGGCAGCATTGTTCCCCTTCCTCCCCCATACACACACCCCTCTGATGCAAGATAGCAGGTGGGCTTTTTATTTTAATATGAATACACATGTGATAAAACTTGCCACTGTAAAATATTGCTGCCGTTCCATTGTGCTGCACGAGGATGCTGCTGCCTGATGGTTAATTGTTATCTCTGTATCGTGATACAGCTGGTTTTCCCCTAAGAACCGTTTAGATGCTGTGTAGCTGGATGCAGAGAAATGAGAAATCGCATTTTGTTTTGTGAAGAGCTTGTATTGCCTAAAGGGGAAACGGAAAAGAAAGACACAGACAAGAGACTGACAGCAATGCCCTAGAAAATCCCCCAAACCCAAATCCTGGATGGGTTTCTGTGTATTCCCAGGGCTTCCCATCCCCGGATTTCTTCCGCAGCTCCCATTCCTCCCTGAGAAGGTGCTATAGGGGAGCGGTCCTCTGATGGCGTTGGGAGAAATGAAATGCTGCAAGGGAAGCCCTTCCTCCCTCCTGCAGCAGTGATGGGAATGGCAGCGCGGCTGCCCAGCAGCCTGGGGCTGGGCTGCAGGATGGCAGTCTGCCCTAGGGATGCTGCGCTGCTTTGGTCCAGCCGGTCCCTAAAGACCTGTCTTGTCCCTTTTAACTGGAAAAGAGGGGTTCAAATGGCTGGAATTGGGAATGGGGGTGAAGGAGAAGAAAAGCCTGCAGTGGTACAATGAACGGTGGGTGGGTTTGGTGCGGTTAGAGGGTTCTTTTCTTGAAAATGCCCAAGTTTCCTCTTGGAATTCTGAATTCTGCAGTGTAGAAAGAGGAGCTTGGGTGGGGGAAGGTAAATCCTGGAGGGCTGGGCTGGAGGGCTTGAACAGGAGCTGCAGACAAAAAGGAAAAGCAAGCAGTGCTTTGTGCCCCCCAAGGCAGGGAAGCAGCCAGAAGGAGACCAGGCAACACTTCTTGCTTCCTTCCCTGGCCTTTGCTGTGATTCCTGCTGTGCATTTTCTATCCCTTTCTCCTTTTAAAAGACTGATAGACACAGGGGAGAGAAGGACAGAGAGATGGAGGGGTGTGGGGGACGTGTGAGGATGCAGCTGATCCTGACCCTGCGTGGGCTTTGCATGCAATGAAGGATGATAAAGCAGCGCTGTAAAAACATGTGTCTCTGATAGAAAATCTCTGGTTATTGAACACATTTCTGTGAGGATCTGGGTCTTGGTGAACGTGCGCAGCGGTGCCCACACGGGAGGTCCCACCCATCCTCCTGCTTTCCCTATGGAGCAGGATTGGACCTTGTTTGCAGGGTGGGGTGGGAGGGAACGGCTCAGCCTCACCAGCCATCTAACCCAAGGTTGCATCGAACTTGAGATGGACGAGGGTGAAACACATGGAGGTGTAATGTGCGTTATCCAGCTGGTGCATTCTCACCCTCCCAACCCACTGCATATTTCATCTTCCCCAGGATGCAGTTTTGCTGTCAAAGGAGACTTAGGATCAGCAAGAAAGGTGTGTTTTAGGGAAACCACACTCCTTATGGCTCAGATCAAGTAGGGAAACAGTTCCAAGGGGTAGGGAGTCATGAGAAACCAGTGCTGTGCCAGGAGAAAGGAGAATAGGGCAGTGTTTGCCAAGGGGGGGGAGCAGAGCTGAGCCTCGCCAGCTCCCTGAGGGGGAGCAGCTCCCCATCACCTACAGCACTTCAGAGAGAGACATGGAACAGCAGGAGAAAAAGACGAGCAAATCCTTACATTAAGGATGGAGTCTTGTGTGCTTGCTTTCTTATTTCCTTCTTTATTCACAGCAAAAGCGAATCCATGCCGAGGGGAGAGCAGCTGCAGTGTCTGCAGCTGATGCCCAGGGGCTCATCCCCCTGGGGAGGATGTTATTGGGTTTGTTCAAACACACGCATCCCTGGGATGAAAAGAAAGGGGGAGCAGCCCCTGTCTTGTCTCCCCACCACCACAGGAGCCATGGCTGGGTGTTGGTGACTGCTGTGGGTGCAGGAGCAGTGGGTCGGCAGCACATGCTCAGTGCAGGCTCAGCTGCGGTGCTGGCCCTGCTGCCGGGCAGCCCTTGCAGGGCAGAGCCCTCACACCTCCTCCCCGAGCATCCCCACCAGGCTTTGTGCCTTTGTACCCCACCAGAGCCGTGTCTGGCTGGATCCTGTGGGGCTGCGTAACCTTCCCCATCATTTGTAGGCATCTGGGTTGAACAGAGACAGGAGGTTATGAAATGATGCAGTAAGGTGACAGCCTCCAGGGCTTTTCTCTGACAGTGGCACGTCTGAGAAGGTGGAGCCAGGAGGAAACACTGGTTTGTCATTTCTGGCCTCACAAATGGGCATGATGAATGTGCTGTGACAGAGCCTGGGAGTTTCCCTTCCTACACTGAACAGTTGTGTGACTTTGTGTAGGTCTGGGTTATCCCTTTTCGGGATGGTATTGGTGTGCAGCCAATGGCATTGACCTGTCCTGACACTTCTGAAGATTCAGGGTCTTTTCTGTCCAGCTCTCCATCTCTCTATTCTCAAGAAAATCACTGTTTTCTTTTTCTTCAGGTGTTGATGGAGTCTATATGGCCTTAGAAATGTACAGTGCTTTTATTGGGATTTCAGTTTTACAAGCCAAAAGAATCTATTGTAGGCACTTTACATATATAAAAGTATACAATTTTTATGTTTTATTATATAAAGCATATTACCACTGTATCCAAATGAGGGATCTAAATCCTTAGGAAATACTTGTTCTTTGTAAAACAAAAATCATATCTTCCCTGATGGCACCATGTACTCTGATCAGGACAAGGCTCCTGTCTTTGTCTCATGAGCTGTGGCCTTACCTGGTCCCCAGCTCCTCTTTAGCTCTTTGTCTCATCCAACCCAACCTGTCCGAACCCATGTTTGCACAACCACTCTGGGGCATCTGCCTCCATTTGGCTTCTTCATCTGCCTTCTCAAGCACCCCAGGCCATGCTTCCCTCCTTGACAATCCCCTCCCAGCCCCGGGTCTCTGCAGCACAACCTGGGCCCTTCCCTCTTCCCGAGCCCATGGAAGAGGAGATTCCCAGGTTATTTTCCAGAGATCAGCCCACAGGTTCCAGAGCTCCACCTTGAGCGATTTGCTAATCCATTGGCTGTGCCTAGCGTGGTTGATGTGTTCACGAGCTGCCAATGAAACCCAGAGGGGAGGGAACCAGTGACTGGAAACTGTTCCTGGGTGATAGTTTAGCAGATGCCTGACAGAAGGCACAGTAAAGCCACGCATCTGCCTGCTCCCATGGGGGATTCCACATGAGCCCACAGTAACTTCTGGGCCTCGGATCTCATGGTGAGATGGTGAATGGCATCAGTGAGGGGCCCAAGTGCTGTGCTGAAAAGAGCCCATGAGTGTTTTCTGGTGGTGTGAGCTCTGCTGATGTGGTTTTTGGAGCAAGAAGTTGGAGGTGAATTAGACTGAAGTGAAGGCCATTGCTTTTAGGATTAGGTGAGAACATTTGGAGTCTGCTGCTCTCATAAGGCTTATCGAGCCTATGGTTGCTTTGGTTGTGTATGTGGCACTGCAGTCTTTGTGCTGATGGACCTGGTTCCCTGTCTCTGCAGCTTCACCTTCTGTTTGTGCTTTAGCAACATTTATAATTGGACTATTCTCATTATTTCAGGATATATTATTCTTTATGGAAGCAATTATTTCTTCTCCAAAGTTATCTTTGCAAACCAAATTATCTGCTTGTAACAACCTTCCTTTGACCTTGCTATCAGGCACAGCACATCCAGCCTCATCCATTGAAACTGCCTGAATTCACATAAATGAGTCCTGCTGTGCCTCTGGTTCATTAGGAATGACTCAGTATCAGTGTTGTGCTTCAGTGGCTTCACTCTGTTTTGCTGGATGTCATTTACCACTGAACAAAAAGCCAGGCTGCTCAAGCAGTCTGTGGCTTAATTTTATCTGGTGAGGAAGCAGAGAAGAAAAGCTTTCATGATTAATAGGTGCTGATCCCACTCTCCAGGCACATCACGAATGGGAAGATGCAGAGGTGCATCTCCTGTACTGGAGCTGCTCTGGGAGCCGCTGGGTAGGGTCCTTGGGGGGTTAACATGGAGATAAACGCTTGGCGTGGGTAAATGCTGTACACAGAGCTCATGCGAAGCAGCAGGGGTCTGGATGCGCAGTGTGTTCTGTGCAGCACTAGAGGGAGCACAGGGAAGGAGTCACTGGAGGGAAAGGAAGCTGGGAGCATCCCTACCCTCCTGGGGAACGGTGATCAGCCTTCTTCCCCTTGCAACAGGCAGAAAGTAGTTTTGTCCACACAACGTGTATAGCCCAGAGAAAGGTCAGATGAAGAAACTTCCTACAGATGAATTGTTGCCTGGGGTGGACAATGGAATGTGTGCAGAGCAGGACACGACTGTGCAGATTCCAGGGCACAAGTATTCAGAAATGCTGAGGATCTGCCTGCCTCTTTTTAGGTAGGATTGTAGCTTAATCATAGAATCCCAGAATCCCGGCCTGGTTTGAGTTGAAGGGATCTTAAAGCTCCTCCAGCTCCAACCCCTGCCACGGGCAGGGACCCCTTCCACTGGAGCAGCTTGCTCCAAGCCCCTGTGTCCAACCTGGCCTTGAGCACTGCTAGGGATGGGGCAGCCACAGCTTCTCTGGGCACCCTGTGCCAGCGCCTCAGCACCCTCACAGGGAAGAGCTTCTGCCTAAGAGCTCATCTCAGTCTCCCCTCTGGCAGGTTAAAGCCATTCCCCTTGGCCTGTCCCTACAGGCCCTTTTCCAAAGCCTCTCTCCAGCTTTCTTGTCGACCCCTTTTGTTATTGGAAGATACTTAATTTTCTGTAACTCCTACAGTTATTAACTTCTTAATTTATACAGCTCCAGTATTTGTGATGTTCCACTCCAATTCTAATACAAAAGCAGTGAAGCGGTATGACTTAGTGATGAAGACCATACCAGAGTGAACAAACCTTCTGCTGATCCTTCTGTTGCAGTGTTTGCCTAATCAGAAACATGAAGCATCAGTAATTCATGCCAGGGTGAGCAGCCTGGCCCAGTACTCTACCCATCAGTGAGACAAAGCTCTTGTTGCACCTCTGAGACCCAAAGTGATGCACTGGTATGAAGTCCTTCAGGAACTGAGCCAGCCTTTCTAATTCATACACATACCCAGTGTTTGCTCCGTGTAAGCTGAATTTTTACTGAATTAGCAAAAGTAAAAATGCAAATAAATGCTTACATAAGAAGTTCAGCATTTCCTGTCTAATTGTTCTTAAAATATGTACCTTTGGGCACTGGAAGACACACGGTCTTTCCTGGAAGGGACTTGTTGGCCACGTCATGTTCTGTCCAGTCAGCTATCTCTTATCTTGGTTCCAGGGTTTTGTCCACTGGCATAAATATGTTCTCAAAACCTTCTATCTATTGGCAAACATGAGTGCAGGCACTTCTGAAGTATGTTTTAGTGCTGAGGTTTGCAGTGCTGATCTTGTACCCCTGAAGAGTTTTTGAGCATGCTCCTTCTGGTCTTGCTTGGGTTTGATCTTCATTGACACAGTCTCCTACATAGCGAGCCGGGGGTTATGTTTCTGACTTTGATTTCCTGAATCAGAGGATCTGCTTTTTCTTATTTTAGCCTTTTAACAAAGCGTTGGACACACAGACCACCTATTGCCTGTCATGGAGTGAGTCTCATCAAAGGCATGTGAGGACAAGGGCATCACTGTGGATGTTTCTGTGTCCCAGGGGTGTAACCTCCTGGACCGGGGGGGATCAGGGGCCCATCTGTTTCTGGGGACATGGATCAGGGGTGATTTCTGCTGGGGTCGGTCCTTCCTTTTCCTCATGCCGTACCCCAGCCTGGGGGTTCCCCCGGGGGTGGTGCTGAACGGACAGCTCCGGGCCGGGCCCGCGGACCCTCCCGGTACCGGCCGGGGTCCCTGTCTGTTGCCACCATTCCCGTTCATCACACGTTGTCTCTGCTGCTTCTTCCTCCTCAGGGAAGGGCCCCTCACAGTCCTCCCTGCTCCAGCACGGGCTTCTCTCTCCATGGAGCCACAGGTCCCGGCAGGAGCCTGCTCCAGCGCAGGCTTCCATGGGGTTACAGCCTCCTTCGGGCATCCCCCTGCTCCAGTGTGGGGTTCTCCATGGGCTGCAGGTGGGGATCTGCTCCCCTGTGGACCTCCATGGGCTGTCTCCCCATGGTCTGCACCACAGGCTGTGGGGGAATCTCTGCTCTGGTGCCTGGAGCATATCCTCCTCCTCCTTTCTCCCCTACCTTGGGATCTGCAGGGCTGTTTCTCTTCCATATTCTCCATCCTCTCCCTGGCTGCAATTGGTCCTGTGCAGAAACTTTTCCCTTTACTTACATTTGTTATCCCAGAGGTGCTACCATCACCACTGATGGGCTCAGCCTTGGTCAGCAATGGGTCTGTCTTGGAGCTGGCTGCATCAGGTCTGTCAGATGCAGGGAAGCTTCTAGTAGCTTCTCACAAAAGCCACCCCTTTGCCCCTGCTACCAGAACCTTGCCATGCAAACCCAATGGCTCTCTGGGATCTCCCCCCACTCATGTCCAGGCCCCGGCAGCTCCCAGCCCTTCTGCCCAGCCCTGTGCCCACATGCAGCTAATTGCATCTGATGGCTGGCTCCAGCCTCGGGAGGAGGATGAGCAGCACTTGCACCGCTCATTAAAGCGCTGCTGCAGCTCAGTGGAGCGGTCTCCTTTTGTCCTCTTGCTCCTTGTCATTCTAATTGACAGTGAGGGATGGTCAGTTTGCTCTGCAGAAGGGAAAGCCGGACAGGGAAGATCCCAATGGACTGGAGGCAGCTGTGAAAGCACTACAGCAGCCCTCCTGAAAGGCAGGGACCACTGCAGCATCCACTCGTCTGCACCTAGGACCATGAAATCGGCGTTAGGCAGACCTACTGGCATCCAAGTAATGAAATACACAGCACTGTGCTCAGTACCAAGTGCTAGGAGATGATTAAATGAGCGAGTCGGGAGTTTGACACATCTCTTAACGTCTTGGTTTCACCCAGGACCAGACATAATGCTGGATCAAGGACCCCAGGTTTATATTAATGATAACGTCTCTCATTTAGTGCAGGGGACCCTCCTCAGGGCTCTTGGCAGCACCTTGTGAGACATGTTAGCTTCCTGCTGCACACTGTAACGTGTAGCACGATGCAGCACACTTTTTGTCCTTAAGAACAGCATCACAGATGTCCTGCTCTGTGGCTGGCACTGCTGATGTAAATGTTCCTGTTTGGTTTGTGTTAAAATCAGTGTGGAGCAAGCTAAAAAAGTGGTGAGTAAAGAGCTGAGCTTCAGGGACTGCCTTTAGCAAAGGGAAGGTGTTAACTGGGATGAGGTTCTGTGCCTAGGAGGAAAAACAAGTACAAGTCTGAAGCAGGGGTGTGAACCCAGCCTAGTAGCTGCAGGAAGGCAGAGGAGATGTTCTGAAAGGTGTTCCTGAGTGGTACAGAGGGTGATGCTTCTTTCAAAGTCGTTCTGTTTAATGCCTCTTCCTAGCACTTAGTTCTGAGGATTTCCCTTCCCTGGCCTGTGGAGGGTCTTGCTATGCAGGTGGCTTGGGCAGCCCAGCTGCAGGGTCCCTCTGGCTGGAGGTGGCAACTGGAGCTGGGTAAGGAAGGGGCAAACCAAGGCCAGAAGCACAAGGACATGTGGGAAACTCAGGTCGAGCAGGGGAATGCTGTGCCCTGTGTGGTGCCAGCAGGAGGAAGGGCAGCACAAGGATGCTTAGGACAGGTTTAGCAGGACACGCAGCTGTGAAGGGTATCCCCATGTGCCTGGGTGTTCCCAAAGACTCAGCCTAGGGCAGAGGAAGCAGCCCCCATTGCCGAGCCTCAGGTGCTGACCTGCAACATAGCAGTGATGCTGTGAGGGCTATGCTCTTGAGAAAGACCATGACAGCCTTGATAGAGCACTCTCTGTTTTCAAGTCCTATTTGGAGGCTGTCAAGTGTGTGCTATCGGTTCGCTGTCTTAAATGGGCTAAGCTCCAAACATACAAGGTGAGGTTTGCCCCAGAAACAGACCCACCGTGAGCTGGGGGTGCTGCTGATCACTGAGCCCCAGGAATGAGCTCCCAGCCCAGAGAGATCATGTATCCCCCCTCCTCCTCCTTTGCAGAAGGTTGTGGGAATGGTGTTTCCTGTGATTGCAGACCAGTAGCGAGCTCTGCCTGCGTGGGCCAAGGTGGTGACAGAATCCACTGCTCTGCTTCTGCAGGGAAGGAGGAACCTCGGGGAGCTGGTTCCAGCACGTCCCCCGGCAGCAGCTCCCTGAACCATTTCTGCACTCCAATGCCCACTTGCTCTCCACGTTGCTGCCTCTTCTCCCTGCTGGCAGAACTGCTGAACTGTGAAATATCCCTGACTTGCCAGGGCTTAGGCAATGTTTCCAGGCACTGATGGGCATGCAAGCGGGATGGAGGGAGGGTCTGTCCTGATGTGGTAACTGCACAGGCCACAGCGTTTCAGCTCCGTTGGAAGGAAAACCCTGCACTCGCACCTTTAGCTGTGCTAAATCCCTGCTGCTTGTCTTCCCATGGCATTCCCCACCCTGGCAGCTAATTTGAGCAGATGCTCCTTGGGCACCTTTTTGCAAGCTACGGCAGCCTGGAAAAGCCCCCATAGAGTCTGGTAGCTACAAATGGGTTTCCTTGTGTCTACCTGCGTCACTTCTCCCTGAAAAAGAGCTGCCTCTGCCACCGGACTCTGTTCTCATTGCTGCTTTGTGTTTTTCAGCCTACAAGGAGAAAATGAAGGAGCTGTCTCTGCTCTCCCTCATCTGCTCCTGTTTCCACACCCAGCCCCATCCTAACACCATCTACCAGTATGGAGGTACGTACATTGGCGTCATGTTCCTGCAGGCAACGTGGGAGCTCATTCCGGAGGAGCAGTCCGTGTCTCAGCCTGGGATCCTGCTGTTCAGTCTCCTTTCACAGTTTATTCTATTAACCTTACATGTGTTTCCCCAATTGCCAGCTTGCAGGGTCTGTCTGCTTCAAACTGGGGTGGTGTCCAAGGGGTTAACAGCGAGAGGGCCTTCCTGTAATTATGTTGTGAATCTTAATTATTGCATTGCCATGGGGGGATAAAGCTGATCACTAATAGGGGAACTCTGGGGATAGAACAAAATCACCCAGGTCAGGACATGGGAACCCCCTAATTCCTGTGCAAAGAGCTCAGTGCCCTCAGGTAGATGCTCTCGTGAGTGTCACAGATCCACAGTCCCTGTTTTTCTCCCCCCCCACAAAGATATGGAGGTGAAGCAGCTGGATAAGAGGGCATCAGGCCAGAGCTTCGAAGTGATCCTGAAGTCCCCTTCAGATTTATCTCCTGAGAGCCCGATCCTCTCCTCCCCTCCCAAGAAGAAGGACCTGTCCCTGGAGGAGCTGCAGAGGAGGCTGGAGGCTGCAGAGGAGAGGAGGAAGGTAATGAGACATCCTGCAGCAGCAGCGTGATGGGTCCTGATTGCACCAAGCCCCAAAACTGCCTCAGCAGGACTGATCTAAGATGGGTGGGGAGAGTGTTCTTCCACTTAGCACCATATCCCACTGTAAATTGTCAGGTGGGACGTGGAGTCATGGAGTGAGGTTCTGCAGCCTGGTTGAGGCAGGGAATTAGACCCCATCACCACCTTCCTCCTGTTCTTAAACTCACACACTATGGGGCCTCTCAGTCCTCAGAACTTTTGCCTAAGAGCTCATCTCCATCTCCCCTCTGGCAGGTTCAAGCCATTCCCCTTGGCCTGTCCCTACATCCCTTGTCCCAAGCCCCTCTCCAGGTTTCCTGCAGCCCCTTTAGGCACTGGAGCTGCTCTAAGGTCTGCCCTTAAGGAACCTTCTCTTCTCCAGGCTGAACAACAAATGAGGTGACCCTGTGCCCACCCGCCTTTCACCTCAGTTTTCCATCTCGTGCTCACCCAGAGCATGGACCTCCACAGACATTGCCCCATGGCAGGAAAAAGGGGCCAAAGCATCTTCCAAGCAAGAGCATTATGGGATGGAGGGGGGTGGCAGAGCGGTTTTGAGCGCAGGAGATGGTGAGGAAGCCCCTCTGGGGAGTCAGAGGCAGGAAGAGCCTCTTGGGTTGCTTTATGGCTCTCCCGGTGCCTTGCCCCGGCAGACCCAGGAGGCTCAGGTGCTGAAGCAGCTGGCGGAGAAGCGGGAACACGAGCGGGAAGTGCTGCACAAGGCGCTGGAGGAGAACAACAACTTCAGCCGCCTGGCCGAGGAGAAGCTCAACTACAAGATGGAGCTGAGCAGGGAGATCCGTGAAGCACACCTGGCTGCCTTGAGGGAGCGGCTCCGCGAGAAGGCGAGTGCAGTGCCCCCCGGGAGAGGGCTGCGGGTGATTCCCAAGGGCTGGAACTGGGGGTCCGGTCCCTGCGGGGTTGTCTCAGTGTGATGGGCACAGGGGAACAGGCGTTTCACTGCTGGTGGAGCAGAAATAGGGGCGATGTGTCCTTCAAGGTCAATGGAGAAAATACTGTCTTGCTGGTAAGCACAAACTCAAAGGCACAAGATCAGGGCCATCCCAGGCCCATGGGCTGCATGGAGAGAGGGCTTTGCAGAAGAAGGGATGTGAACATGTTCGGTGTGGGTTCCCATCACCTCCAGGCTCCTGCAGATGTGATGCTTTGCTGCTTGCAGGCATAACCCACAGCCCTCACGGTGTGTCAGATGGGAAACCGGTCTCTTCTTTTGTCTGATGCAAAGCCAGTGTGCAGGAGAGAAGGGAAACAGAGCTCTCACAAGCAGACAGTATCATCCTGGTGTCGTCTCTCCCATCTCTGCAGGAACTGCACGCAGCTGAGGTCCGCAGGAACAAGGAACAGCGGGAGGAGATCTCCGGATAAAGGGCTTTTCTACACATCTAGCACCTGATTCCTGATTAACAAACCAACCAATCGACCAACCAACACATTTGATTTTGTTTGTCTAGATGCGACCTTCGATCCTCCATCCTTTCCCCCCCACTCCCCTGGTGTTCGTCCCCCAGCTACACGCTTCTCTATCTCTGCATCCTTAATGTCGGTACTTGTGAGGATTCACAGATCATAGGGACCTCTAAGCAGAATAGCAATTAGTTCACATGAAATAGAGAACCAATCGATCGATCAGTCAATCAAACAGCTTCTTTGGAGGGTTTTGTCCTTTTTTAAAAACCAATATTTCTTAAACTGATGTAAAAAGAAGAATTCATAAGATATTAATAAATTCAACCAGCAGTGTCACAGAGATACGGATTTCTTACCCTGGGGCTTTTACTCCTCTTGGTGTTTGCTCTGAGCCAAATAGCAGCTTCAGACTAAGTGGTAATTTGTGTGTGTGAGGTGGAATAGGGAAGAGCCCCGTGTTTGCCAGTAGTGGTAGGAGAGAGGAATGAGAGGGATGGATGGTGCAGGAGCCGTGGTGTGCAGAACCCCCCAGCTCTTGGCTGCATCTGGAGCCAGCCCAGGCAGGCAGTGATCCAGCGTCCTCATCTCTGCATGGTTCTTTGGTAGCCCGTGAGGAAGGAGGTGAGGGTCTCTGCCCAGAGCTGGTTGGCAGCAGAAGGAGACAGTGGACTGAGCCACCCTCTCCCCACAGGGCAGGGACTGAGAGGTCTTGGCCAGGCAGCCTGGGAGACCCACAGATGACGATCGCATCCCCAAATCCATGGGAGCCCTGGGAGAGGGTGCTCGGTCTGCAGGTCTCCAGTGCTCCCACAGCATGAGATTTCAGTCCAGTAGGAAAGCAAATCCAATAGAGAGGGTGCGTGGTTGTGAAAGAGCCTTTTAGTGAACAGAATCATCCTCTTTCCCTCTTTCCAAAGACGTGTAGGACTCCTCGGTGCCATTAGGAGGCAGGACACACCAGCTGCCCGGTACCTCCAGCCCTGTGGCTTCAGATGAGGTGGAGCGAAGGGGGAGCAATTCCACAGTAAGGGTAGATGTCCCCACACTCGTTCCTTGTCTAACTTTAGCTTTTCCAGACTTATTTATAAGACAAAATTGTCTCTTGATGGAGGTAGGGATGAGCAGAGAACACGTGAGCATGGCAGTGATGTCTGATGTAAATAGGTGACTGTCCATGGACTTCCTCATCTTCCAGCGTCACAGCTTATGGAGGTAGCCAAGGCCCCAGCAGCCACCATGCACTGCAAAGGACCCTGTGCTGAGACCCACAGACCTGCTCACCCTGCCCCAGCCTGGAGAAACTAAATGGAGATGTTGCATCTGCAAAGCAGGGAATGGCCACCTTCTGCAAGGACACAGTGCTTGGGAGGCAGCCCTGCTGGAGCACGGCCCTGCAGCAGCTTTTGCAGAGGATTCAGTGGAAGCTGCTTCCCTCTGAGGCACAAGGTAAAAGAATTCCCACTCTGAGCAGTGCTGGAGGTCACTGGGTTGTTAGCTTATAAAGGGAATAGGGCAGTGGTTGGGTCCCTCCATCCTGGCTGCCCTCGCAGAGCCTGGAATAAACCAAAGGGGCATCCAGGGCACTGAGATGTGTAATTGTTAATAACTGGTGTCCTCTGCTGTGCCTCCAAAGAGCCGTTCTGGGCACGGGATGCAGGATCCGTGGGGAATGATGGAAGCAAACAAGGGGTGCAGCCTGGGCCTCCCCGGGGCTGTGCTCTGCTGGAAGCGATGAGGAGCTAGAGCGGATGAAGGGTTTGCCCAGGGAATAACGATCCCATTGCCCCTCTGAGAAAGGAATTATTGCTGGGTCTGGTCAGAAGCTGACGTTTCTGTCTCCCCTGTGCTTTAATTAGGTAAAGGATCGATTTCAGCCTGGGGTGAGCACCAGTCAGGCACAGAAACCCCATGGAAAGCCAAAGAGAACAAAGCCCGGGGCTCTTTGCTCATCTCCCCAGGATTCCCAGCTGGATTTGGGAGGGATCCCTCAATGGCCAGAGTGTGATGGTAGGGAATTCTGCTCCTAAAGGGAAGGGCTACCTTATTCCTACACCCTCCGCCTGGGCTGGGAGGGGGGGGTACGACACAGGACTGTTAGAAAGCCCCAGTGCTGTCAGTGACTAAAAGCAAGTCATAGGATTTAGAGCAAAGAGGGCAAAGGGAAGGAAACTGAGGGTTGAATTTCTTAACAGTAGCTAATGATCAGTTTATAGTAGCAGCTGTCTTAGATGAGCATCATTGTAGAGCGGCATCACCTCCAGCATCACCTCATCGCGTAGTGGCAAGAACTTTTAAAGTGTTGAAAAACAAATGCTAATAATTTAAGAGTAACTTAAACAAAACTGTTTGTGTGTCAGAAATGGTTGAAGCTGTCAAGTGTCTGTGTCCCTGGTGGGATCTCAGAAGGTATCTGCAAGATATTAACCCTGTCCTACTCTCTGTGGTGCTGAGTGTTTGCTTGGTGTGTAATTCTGACCTGAGGCTTGTTGTAAATACTGTTTTTAGTACTATGATTATGATGATTATTATTACCAGAAATGTTGTACTCATGAGCAGGGGGTTAAAACAAGAGAAACGACCGTTCCCACTCCCTCCTGGGGGCTCAGATGGAGCTGGATGAGGCTGATGGCGCAGGCAGGGCGGGATGCTGGACCATGGAGCCGGAGGCAGCTGAGTCCTGCAGGCAGGGCGGTGGGAGCAGGGACAGGCTGCTCCTCAGGAAGGGCTGAGCGGTGGAACAGAGGTGATGCTTCAGTTCTCGCACATATGATTTAGTGTAAACCCAAAGCTCCCAGTGCGAGGGGTCCCGGCTGTGCCCAGGGGAAGCAGGAGGAGCCAATGAGGTTTGGTGTGAGCTGGAGGAGGAGTGGTTGATGGTGGCTTGTGCTGGTGAGAGCCATCCCCCTGAGCCTCCATTGACTCTCTGGGCTCGGTTCCTGCCTGGATCTCCCACCTCAGCCCTTTGCGCTTCCCCCTGCTTCCTGGAGGCCAGCCTGGATCTCAGGCAGGAGCTGATTCTTGCAATAGCTTTGCCTGGCAAAAAGTAATCCCATGGGAAAGGCACAGGAGTGGCCTGGCACACAGTGTGAGCACTGGGAAACTCAGTTTTCTCCCCTCTGTTGGGTCGGTGCTGTGAGGGCCAGCGGATGTGGCTGGAAAACGTGTTCCTGCAGGGAGGGATTTGCACCGGTAACATGGGGTACCCGCTGCCGAGATGCGTTGTGCCAAGGAAACCACCTCATCCATAGGAGAGGCAGAGCGATGTTTGCCCGGTGCCGGTGCATGTGACAGGGATTTAGGGAGCTCGGCGTTTGTCCAGTGCCACTGGACACTATCAGGGATTGCTTGGGCTGCACCAGTGCCCGTGGCTGTGGCTCTGTGCCCGACTGGCAGCACGTGGCATGGGCAGGGATGACAGTTGTTCCATGCCTTTCCACATCCCAGGGTTGTTAATGGTTGTGTGCAGCAGCATACTTCACACCTCGGTTGAGACTAATCAAGTATCCTCATTAACATCCTTACTGCCCCAGCCTCCCTCATTCCCAGCCCGTTCCCATGTACCAGGGTCATGGACATGGCATGAACCCCCCCATTCCCACGACCATCTTCCTTATGATAAGGCTTGAAGTTCTTCCTTGATTCCCATAGATGTTTATAATCGAGCTTTGTAACTTGGCAGCCCCCTTTCTGCAGCAGCACACGGACACGAGACTGTGCCCGCTAGGGAGAGCATCCTCAAGGCGGGCGGCTGCATCCCTGCCTGGACCACGAAGGTGAGGGAGCAAAGAGATGGTGGCAGTTTATTCCATGCATGCGTATACCTTCCAAAGAGCACTCCTGGAGAAGGGCCCCCCATTAGGGCAGAGAAGCTGAAGCTGAATGAGCTCCCAGTTGAGCAAAGAGCTCAGCTCTCTCTGTAAATGGGGGCTTTCAAGGATGCTGCTTCTAGACTGAGCCTATTCCTTGTCTTCTTTCCGAGTCATTACAACCCCTCGCTGTAACCCAGACCTTTGACCTCCCAGGGATGGCAGCACTTCACTGCATGCATCCTACCCTGGGGGTCAGTTGGTATCGCTGCTCCCTTTCCACTGTAGCCTTCAGCTTGCTTGCTTTTGCTTAGCCCGGCGTGACTCCGGCCTTGGCTCTGCAGAGCCTGTCTGTCTCCTGGGGCTCCTGGTATTCCCTCCCTCCCCATGGCTGCGCACACAGGGGCAGAGGTGGAAAGGAGATGTGCACATACCCCCTTCACACCACTTGAAATGAGTCAGGGAATGGCTGTTTACGGTCTAGAGATTTCTTATTATCCATGCTAGGGATGAGAGGACAAAGCAAGACCAATAAGCTCCACCTTTGTAGTCAGTTGTCTTTAAGTAAAGCAGAAGAGGGGCACTGGCCAGTGGTTGGGTGCTCCGGGGTCCCCAGGGAAGCAGTGGGACCCACTGTGGCATCCCAGCACCCCCAGGCCTCAGTTTCCCCATCCCATGACAAGGGGATGCTGATGCTGGAGCACGGGAGAGCCACCGCATCCAAACGGCTCTGAGAATGGGAAGTCCCAAAGGACGGAGCCCTGGTTCACAACTGGCCACCCTGGGGAGGAAGCAACAGACCCATGGCCACAGGCAGAGGTTTGGGAGGCTGAGCTGTAACCCCAGGGCTCAGCACCCCGGGCAGGATTCACACCTTGGCAGGGTGGGAGCTGGCGCGGGGTCGTGGGAAGGGCTTTCCATCCCTCACAGAGCCTTGTCCGGTTCCCTTGGGTCAACCACGCGCATTTCATTGTCAACCTGAGGTTGTTGTTGTGCAAAAGAAGTGATCATGAAACAAAGACAAAAGGAAATAAAGTTGGTATGAAACCTGCGTCCATCTCTCTCCATCGCTTGGTTTAGCTCCGAGGCTTCTCTTTGTATTGTGAGAATACCAATAAACTGCATTAAATGGAAAACTGACCTAAAGGTTGGACAAAACGGACTCCGAGCACCTCTCTGCTAAATGAGTTCTTCGCACTCAGCATAAAGACACAGAGACACACACTTTATCACTGCTTTCAGAGGAAAAACAGCACCAGCTGCTTAAAGGAGGGTGCTGACATCCCTTATGGAAAGGGGAGGGAATGCAAAGCCTTTCCAGAGGAGGACTGAAAAGCTGTAAGGCAATTGCAGGCACAGTAAATCCAGACCTGGAAAGCGTGCGCTTCGGGTTTAAAAGAAGCTTTTGCTTCAGGAGCTTTTCCCAAGACACAAATTCCAGCCCAAACAGGAATTCTATTTCTGCAGCGTGCCCTTCCTGATTTTAGAGATAAAACCCTAAGTGCAAACGCAGCATCGCTCGCTTTTCCTCTGAGGTTTCCTACAGACACTGACCTGGGCTCTTAAAACTGGACTGGGTAAAGCAAAGCCTCTGCGTTTGGCTTAGGGAACAATCACAATCCTTGGTGCCATGAAATTCGAGGTGTATTAGAGACACCAAGCGTGGTCACCCTCTAAGCAGTTAATCCAGGTGAGACCCTTCATCCCCTTGTGAGCTGAAGGATAAAGAGGCAGAGGAACGGGATCTGTCGGGAAGAGGGGGATGGGTGTTGCAGTGATGCTCCCACCACCCTCAGCCTCTGCCCACATGTGCAACCCTGCGGGGCCCAGCTCCCACAGGCAGTACTGAGAAGGTTTAGACTCAATGCTGAAGCCTTGGAGCAGACTGCAGCGCCCACCAAAAGGCTTCTTCAAGCATCAATACTGGGCCAAGGAAGCAAAATATCTCAGGAACTCTTGGAACGATCCCTACAACGCATCAGATCCCTACAATGCATCAGATCCCAACAAAGCATCAGATCCTTACAACATATCAGATCCCAACAAAGCATCAGATCCCTACAACGCATCAGATCCCTACAACACAGCAGATCCCTACAACACATCAGATCCCAACAAAGCATCAGATCCTTACAACATATCAGATCCCTACAAAGCATCAGATCCCTACAACACATCAGATCCCTACAACACATCAGATCCCTACAAAGCATCAGATCCCTACAACACATCAGATCCCTACAATGCATCAGATCCCTACAACACATCAGATCCCTACAAAGCATCAGATCCCTACAACACAGCAGATCCCTACAAAGCATCAGATCCCTTTAACGCATCAGATCCCTACAACGCATCAGATCCCTACAACGCATCAGATCCCTACAACACAGCAGATCCCTACAACGCATCAGATCCCTACAGCGCATCAGATCCCTACAACACATCAGATCCTTACAACACATCAGATCCCTACAACGCATCAGATCCCTACAACACATCAGATCCTTACAACACGTCAGATCCCTACAAGGCATCAGATCCCTACAGTGCATCATTGTCCCATGTCTGAGTGAGGGGAAGGTAAATGCAAAGCACATCTGGGCAGGCCAAAACCAGCAGAGGTTTTTGCAGAGTAATTCCCTAAAGGTTTCACTGTGCTGAGGCTGCTCTCCCTCAGCCACCCGCCTGGCACTAGGGCTGCGAGCGAGTCCATCGGCTGGTAAAGGAGCTGTGAGCACATAAGGTGCCAGGAGGTGAATTCCTCCTGCTGTGGGTGCTGGGGAGGAGCCCGGGGAGGCTCCTGTTGCTGGTGCCTGGTAGCAAAAGCAAGGGTTTGCTCTGCAAGAGGCCACAGGCTGATGGAAACCGGAGCAGGGCAGCATCGCTGTGGGTTCACTGCCTTCTTACCCTCTTTATAACCCCTCTGCCATCAGGCTCCAGTTACAGTGGGAGAGGGAGCTTTTGTCTGCCCCATCTGGCCCTATGTAGGTCACAAGGATGGAGCTGCCTGTGGAGGTCCACAGGGAGCTGACGACCACAGTGTTGGCTTCCATGGCAAAGAGCATCGCCATTTCCAGTGGGTGAATTGACATCGCTGGTTACCACTGGTTCTCTTGGAGGAGGGAAAGAAAGACAGCTCCTTGGGAGGTATCACTGGTATTAGCTTGGGTAAACTGGAAAGCGAGAAGGAATAGGAGGGAAACAGAGCTGGCAGATGGTTGGATTGCATGGGGAGGATGGGAAAAGATAAGAGGCTTGGGACAAATAAGCATTAAATAAACCCCTACAAATCAATCAGCTTCGTTAGAGATTGCTATGAAAAATGCCACTGTGCAGGTCAGAGACGCACCTGAACGCGAGGCCGAGAAAGCCACTTGTCAAGGAGGTGTGAAAAGCTGCTGGGTCTAAACCACATGCGGAGCGTCTCAAAGAGGGATTCACAACTCTTCGGGGCTCTGGTCTGGCTCTTCCTGTCTCAGAACCACCCACTTGCAGCAGAAGGGAGACGTGGCAAGAGCGTGTGAGAAGAGTGTGTGTGTGTGTGTGTGTGTGTGTGTGTGTGTCCAACAAATCACTGCAGGCTCCCAAAGCCTGGACCCCGTGGGCACAGCTCACAGGGCAGAAATGACACCAAACCCCATGAGAGCTCCAGGCAGCTGGGGGGGACCCAGGGAGCAGAGTATATATACTCTCATACATATACAGAGCAGTGTATGTATGCACTATACACAGCATGGTATTTAGTGCTGAAATGCAGCACGCCTTGGGTGCAGCAACTCGGGGATGGCTCCTGAGCTCTGCAGCCAGCAGGAAAATCCCTGATGCGGGGTCCAACGGCAGCACTGGAGTGGTGTACAGGGCCCAGAGACATCACGGCCCCTGGGTACCAATGTGCAGCCCCCCTCCTTTAGGTACAACCGCACTGCTCAGTGCCTTAAAGGCCTTTAAATGTGACACCCGACTCAGAGTTCAGGTAGGAGGGAGGTGTCCCCCGAAGTGCAAAACACGCTCTTTTATCTCCTTTTTCGTATTTTATTGCTGATAAGGACATCAAAAGAGTGCCCAGAGAGCATCCTTCAGGTTTTATTACACCTTTTCAACCCGGCCAAAGCAGCGCTGCAAACAGAGTGAATCCGGACGCCTGAAGCTCTCCCTTCAGGGATGGAAGCTCACCTCGATGGGTCCTGGCAGGCTCCAGCCTGGCTGCTCCATGCCGGGTGCCCACCACCGACCACAACCCCCTGGGACACCCCAAAACACACTGCGCCCATCAGCACAGGCAGGACCCAAAGCCGGTCCTTGTCCCAAAGCCATGCACGAGCACAGCTCTGCACCCCAAAACCACACACACACACACACGTGCACCCCAAAACCACACACACACACACACACGTGCACTCCCCCATCCACACACGTGCACCCGTGGGCTCGGAGCACCCTGCTCTAGTGGAAGGTGTCCGTGCCCGTGGCAGGGGACGGAGCTGGGTGCGCTTTAAGGTCCCTTCAACGCGACCCCCACCCAGCTCCGCGCTGCGCTGGGTGCTGGGTGCTGGGCGCTGGGTGCTGCACCCACCCCCCCCACCGGGACCCCGGGGCACGTCCGGGCCGCAGCAGCCCCGCAGCGCACGGACCCGGGCATTCGCACGGGGCGGGGGGGGATACACACACACACACACTACACGGACACGCAGGGGATCCCCCACAGAGGGGCATCCCCCCCCCCCGGCAGCGATCACCGTCGCCCCGTCCACGCGCATGCGCACATCGCCGGCCCGGTACCTATTTCACAGCCAGCGCGGGCCGCGGCGCCCCCGCCAAATAAGTCCCGGGAGCCGGGCCGGGCCGTGCGCATGCGCACCGTGGTGGGGGGGGGCCGAGAGTCGCGCGCGGCGGAGCCCCGTTTCCCTTCCCCCCCCCCCCACCCCCACCCCCCTTCCCCCCTCACACCCCAACCCCGCCGCCCTCCGCTCCGCTCCGCACCCACCGGCCCTGCCCTGCCCGGGCCGGCAGCGGGGCCCGCGGGACGCCGGCCTCAAGGTAAGCGCTGGGCCTTGGCGCCGCCCGCCGCGGGGCCTCCGTACGCGCCGTCCGTTCGCCGGGTCCCTGCGGAGCGTCAGGACGTTACGGCAGCGGCAGGAGACGGCGACGGCGGCAGCGCCCGGCCGCCCCCCCCCCCCCACCCCCCCCTTCCTCCTCCTCCTCCTCCTCCTCCCTCCCGCGCTCTCGGCGCTGCCAGCGTGAACGCGCCCACGCGCACCCCCCCCCCCCCCCGCACCCCTGTTCTTCTCCCCCCCCCCCCCCCCCATCCCCCTTACGACCGGGAGCGCGCGCGCCGACCCGCCGCGGGGTGGGGGTGGGGGGGACACGGGACGGGACGGGACCACATCGTGTCCGGCCCTAACGGCACCGAGCGGGGCGCCCCGAGGTTATCCCCCCCCCACCCCCAGTGTACCCCCGGTTTGTGCATCCCCCCCCAGTGCACCCCCGGTTTGTGCATCCCCCCCCAGTGCACCCCCGGTTTGTGCATCCCCCCCACCCCGGTGCACCCCCGGTTTGTGCATCCCCCCCACCCCGGTGCACCCCCGGTTTGTGCATCCCCCCAGTGCACCCCCGGTTTGTGTCCCCCCCCAGTGCACCCCCGGTTTGTGCATCCCCCCCCCCCAGTGCACCCCCAGTTTGTGCATTCCCCCCGGTACAACCCCGGTTTGTGCATCCCCCCCCACACCCGGTGCACCCCCGGTTTGTGCATCCCCCCCCCCACCCCCGGTGCACCCCCCCCAGTGCACCCCCAGGTTTGTGCATCCCCCCCCACCCCGGTGCACCCCCGGTTTGTACATCCCCCCCCGTGCACCCCCGGTTTGTACATCCCCCCCAGTGCACCCCCGGTTTGTACATCCCCTCCCCACCCCGGTGCACCCCCGGTTTGTACATCCCCCCCAGTGCACCCCGGTTTGTACATCCCCCCCAGTGCACCCCCGGTTTGTACATCCCCTCCCCACCCCGGTGCACCCCCGGTTTGTGCATCCCCCCCCCCCCCCCCCCGTGC